AGCGAATTCGCGATAGATTACAGTATGAGAGAAGGATATAAGAGCGAGATAAGACGTTTCGGTCCATGAAGTCGCATACGCCTTAACACAACACCGCGGCGGAACCTTGTCAGTATGACGGTCGCAGTGTTTATTGGAAAAGGAAGAGAAAATAGAAAGACGGCAGAAAGAAGCAGAAGGAAAGAGGATATGCAATCACCGGGTCATATAGTAACTTGTATATAATGGAATCTTGACTGGTTTGATGAAAAATTTGCCACCGCGCAAACACCTCGGTGCAGCATCGCGGATTTGTACGAGATGTTGAAATCAGTTCCTCAGCTACCGAAGTTATCGCATGAGAAGTCTGTTTGTGCCAAATTTCGCGTATTTTGGATAATCTGGTTTAGAGGGTACCATAATTTAGTCTCGGGCAAAAAAATCAAACTATGCGTTTTAGCACACACACACGCACACACACAAATACACGCACACGTACATACATGTGATCTCACCGTAATGATGTGTTTTCATTTTGCAGGGGCCTGGCCAGGACATGTCTTCGTCAGCAATTTACCTGCTCGATCTTAAAGGCAAGGTTGGTTGATTGAGTTTTCAAGCTTTTCTAATGTGTTATTTGTCTATTTTGAAGCTTTTTTTTATTGCATTTTTTTAAAATTTTAGTGTTTATTTGATTTAAAGATGCACCACAGTCTCTAACCCCGGAGATTGCACGTGGAAGGACTGCTGGTTGGCGCATATTTCACAGCATTACCGCGTATTTGCAATGTCTCAAACCAGAAAAGTCGTGCCCACTTCTTTAGTGTCAGAAAAAAAAAACCAGAAAAGCTGGAAGGCTGAAACTTTAAGGGTATATTCCTCGCCCATGTAAAATTTATAAGGATTTCAAATTCAGCCCCCGGTACGAGTGGTATGAGCGCAAAATGCGGACAAAAGCGGAAAGGCAGGAGCTGACTGAGAAAGAGAGCAGAGAAGTCCCCAGAAATGCTTGAACTGTTTTTTAATTGGGTAATCAGATTCTTCGTCAGATGAGTGGCGTGCAGGATGTTGTTGCGGCCATGCGAGAAGCCTTCTCCCCCCACCTCCTCACCTATTCTTAGTAGCTTCAGTTCATACATTCAGTTGTTACCCTCCAAAACCCACGATTTATATTCTCACTAGCTCAAACGGCTGCATTCCTAACATTTCTAACAAATGTTCTTCACTTTCTACGAATTTTAGTTGCTAAAGTAATTTATGAATTTTTAGCCTCAGTTGTCCTCGGTCCTCATTTTGATAACCTAGTTGAGTTTCTTGCCGCCCAGAATGATAGCTCCCGTGCATTTTCCATCTCCAAAACACCTGTATTTTTGTTTCCGTTCACTTGAAAGCATTTTGGTTTTGATATTTTGACACTAAATGAATCTGTGTTTTTTTTTTTCGAAAACATTGTTTAATACCAGTGAGCTACTTACTTATGGATCAAATAATAGACCAACAGGATTGTTCGCAGGCGTCATGTCTAAGAGGTGATATTTTATGGTGCAAACTGCCTTTATCCTTTAGATATAGTGGGGTGATATTTTTCGATGCAGTCTCTGTGTTTCATCCCTTAGCTGTAAGCATAGACCGAACTATGCTTGCGGGTAGGAATCGTCAATACATGCTTTTTTTTTTTTCAAAACCGATGCTTTTTCCCGTTTTTTATGAAAAGGCATTTGAAAGTAACCCAAG